GCTGGGACTACAGGCATGCGCCACCATGCCCGGCTAATTTTTTCTATATATTTTTAGTTGTCCGATTAATTTCTTTCTATTTTTAGTAGAAACGGGGTCTCGCTCTTGCTCAGGCTGGTTTCGAACTCCTGAGCTCAAACAATCTTCCTGCCTCGGCCTCTGTACACCACTTCTTACATAGTGGGAGGCTGAGGTGGGAGGATTGCTTGAGGCCAGGAGTTCGAGACCATCCTGAGCAAGATCGAGATCCTGTCTCTGCAAAAAATTGAAAAAATTAGTTGGTCGTAGTGGTACACACTTGTAGTCCCAGCTACTTGGGAGGCTGAGGCAGGAGAATCGTTCGAGCCCAGGAGTTTGAAGTTGTAGTGAGTTATACTGACGCCACTGTACTCTAGTTGGGGTCACAGAGTAAGACTCTGTCTTAAAAAAGAAAAAAAAAAAGAAAGAAGCTTTTGCAGGGTTTGAAAAATTATAGGAGTTGTCCTGACTGTATTGAGAGTAGATACTGAGTCTAAACAAGGTTAGAAAAAGGGAGACCTTTATCGCACCATCTCACTCCACCCCTGCATCCCTCCATCCTGGGCGACAGAAAGAGACCCTGTCTCTAAAAAAAAAAAAAAAAATCAAATAAAAAAAAACCAGGGAGATCTGTCAGATTATTGCTATAATCTAGGAGAGAGACATATTATCTAGGAGGGAGATGGCTGTCAGAGGCAGCACTGAACAGATTGGTGGTGGGGTGATGAGAAATTGTTAGATGCTGGGTATATTTTGCAAACAGAGATAATAGAATTTGTTGACAAGTTGGAAGGGAAATGCGAAAGAAAGGAGTCAAGGATGACTCCAAGGTTTTTCGCTTGAACGTCTGGATGGATGGAGTTGCCATCCACTGAGATGAGAATGCTTACAGAGTAATAGGTTTGCAGGAAAGATCAGGAGTTCAGTTTTGGATATATTAAGTATGGTATGTCTTTTATTTTTATTTTATTATTTTTTCATTCATTACAGACATCATGGATGGGATGTCTTTTAGATACCCAAGTGAAGTTGTTTAGGTTTTAGGAGCAAGGTCTGGGCTAGAGATACAAAGTTGGTTGAGACGTGTTGTTTATATAGATGCTGTTTAAAGCTATAAGAACAGATAATATCCTCAAGGGAATGAGTGTAGATGGAAAAGAAAGGGGAACCAAGAACTGAGTCCTAGGATATGCCAACATTAAGAGAATAGAAAGAAGAAAAGGAATCTTCAGAGGAGACAGAGAAGGAACAGTGAGGTAGGACATAAACCTGGATAATATGTCTTGGGAACTCAAGGAAAGAAAGTAAATCACAGAGCAGGGAAATATCAGCTATCTCAGATTTTGCTGACAGGTTAAGTAGGATGAAGACTAGAATTGAAAATTATATTTAGCAATGTGAAGGCCACTGGTTGTTATGGGGCCTTCAGTAGAAAATGGCCAAGATAACACTATTTACATATTTTTAAAATGGGAATTTTTGGTATTTACAGTGTCTCCTTTGCCATGTTCAGGTTTGCTGACCTGTTGGTGGTATGTCTAACAGTGGATCACAACTTGGATCAATGGGTAGCCTGACCATGAAATCACAACTTCAGATTACTGGTAAGTCTTAAAAAGATGTACTACTTTACTTTTTTTCCCCCTTAAGATTAAAAATTAATCTTAAGAGAACAAAATCTTTAGTGGCTGTTATATATCAGATGCTAAATTAATATTTGTTGAACGAATGAACAAAATGTTTAGATACATTAAAATCTCATTTTTATTTCAGGGTATTCTTGGATATTTTGCAGGGCTTTTTTTCTCCCTTAAATATGGGCACTTGGGCAATTGCTATTGTTTTTGTTTTGTTTTGTTTTGTATTGTATTAATGGTGAGATACAGTTCATATTCCATACAGTTTACCGATTTAGAAGTCAGTGTTTGTTAGTACTGTAGGGACCGAGGGAAAACTTCCCCTTTACCTTCTGAAGGTTCACTGAAAATCAATGACCAGAAGGCAGATTAATAGGAGAAAAGGCATACAAAATTATTAGTGTGCATGAGGGGGTGATCACAGAGTGATTACCTTATCACACAATGGGGTAAAATGCTTATATACCCTTTTTCTTAGGGGAAAGAGGGATGAGGAAGTGTGGATGATTTTAGTGGATAGTAAATGATTTTTAGGGGAATTCAGTGGGCTTGAAGAACATTCAGTGGTCTGGGACAAAGTCTGTTGGTTTATGACAATGGTTTATGACAAAAGTCTGTCCAGGTGTGTTGACAGACTTCAAGTCTTTCTTCCTATGATATGAGTTCAGTTAATAAAAACTCAGGGAGACGACCAAAGGTAATTGTTTTCTTCTTTGGTGGGTCTGGACTTTAGGCAGATAAAAGAACTTCATAAAACAACTTCATCCTGTGCCTTAAGAGAGAGAAGATGGGGTGCAGTTGATACAGACCTTGAGAGGCTGCTTCTTCAGTTCCTCATGTCAAAGCATCATATTTTGGGATATCAGTTCCTGAGTCCCAATAGTATGTTCACAGAGTTGTGCAACCATCACCACAATTAATTTTAGAACATACTCATCACTCCAGAAATAAACTCTGTACTCATTAGCAGCCACTCCCTATTTCCGCCATTCACCCACAAGCTTAGGCAACCACTGATCTACTTTCTGTCTATGGATTTGCCTGTTCTGGATCTCTCATATAAACGGAATCGTACAATGTGTGGCTCTTTCTGTCTTCTTTCATTTAGTGTAATGTTTTCAAGTTTCGTCCATGTAGCACGTATCACACTTCATTCCTTTTTACTGCTAAATAATATTTCATTATATGAATGTACCACAATTTATTATCCATTCATCAGTTGATATGTTTGGATTGTTTCCACTTTTTGGCTATTAAGAGTAATGCTATAAACATTTGTATACATGTTTTTGTGAGGATTTATGTGTTCAGTTTTCTTGGGTATATACCCAGGAGTGGAATTACTAGGTCCTATGGAATCCATAGTTAACATTTTGAGGAATTCCAGATTATTTTTCAGAGTAGCTGCATCGTTTTGCATTCCCAGCAGCAATATATGAGGATTCCATTTTCTCCACATCCTTGCCAATGCTTGTTATTTGTCTTTTTGATTATAGCTATCCTAGTGGGTGTGAAATGGTATCTCGTTGTGGTTTTGACTTGGATTTCTCTGATGGCTAATGATGTTGAGCATCTTTCCATGTACTTATTGATCATTTGTATATCTTTTTTGGAGAAATGTCTATTCAGATCCTTTGGTTGCTATTGTTAATTAACATTTCTGTCTTTATTTGTTTCTTCCTCTAATCATAGCATGTATCACTTCCA